TCAGAAATGATTAGCTCTGAGGGACTGATTACAACATGTCGGAGCACAACCATTAGTGAAACGTATACATGGTTCAGCCTCTGATCTTGGATGACCCCTGTGTATATTATTGGATGTGACAGTAGTGGGATTCCTTACACTTTTAAACTGGGGTTAGTGGGGGATTCCTCAGGGTGGGTGAGGTGTCTGGTGGCTTACATCCAGGAATCGATTACCATTCTGCATTTGATAGTTATTTCTCTCCATTTGTTGACTTGCTATTTTATTATCTTTTTGCTCCATTCTTGTGTGCAGGTTCTCTTCAATGATAGCTTTGTTTGCAAAGTTTTGACTTGTAGACGTTGTGGTTCGGAAATGAAGGACAAGGAGTCCACTGGGCTGTGTCAGTACCTGTGCACACGAATACCCACTTCCACTCTAGCACAGAGCCCCAGTTGGCATCTTATTGCTTAATTAAAGAGTTTTCCAGCTGTAAGAGTTGAATGCGATTTGCAAATATTTGATGTTTACTCAATAGCAGGTCTAATGCCCACATCTCTCTCAGTGCAAATCCGTCACAGGGTAAGTGACTATCCCTGTGATGGATTGCTCACACGTTCTGTCAGCTGCCATTGTATTGGCACAATGTGGAGTAAACAAATCAGTGGCTGCGTGACTAGGTTTATAATGAGAGCAGGGCTGAGCCATTGTCCATTGGCTGCAATGATGATTGATGCAAAATGAATTAATTAGGATGGAAAGAGCATTTTGAGCCTATGAATTCTTTTAACAAATAATTGGCATGTAATGAGGAATTGAAACAGCTACAAGATGACTGCTGGTCTTCTCTGAATGTGGCATATATTAATAAAAAGTGATTGTAATTTAGACTTTTAATCTTATAGCGACAATAGGCTTTTCAAAATTATTTATTAAGACACTACAAACTGCCCAATAATCTGCTGATTGCTTAATTAGGTGAAACCTAAGAGGGAAAGGAATAGAAGGATCTTTTTTTATATGGTTAGATGAAGAGAAGTGGGAGGAGGCACAACTGAAACATTGGTCAGAGAAACTTCACATCAAAGCTGTATTTGAGTGAGTGTGGCGTCAAGGAGCCCCAGCAAAACTGCAGTCAGTGGAAACTGAGGGATAGCTCTTTACTGGTTGCAGTCATACCTGGCATTAAGGAAAAAGACTTTGATTGTTGAAGGTCATTCATCTCATCTGTAGGACATCCCGGCAGGAATTCCTCAGCGTGGTGTTCTAGCCCAACCATCTTTAGCTGCTTTATCAAAAATTTCCCTTCCATTATCATATCAGAGGTGATGATTTTCAGTGATGATTGCAGAATGTTCGGCATCATTTGTGCCTCCTCAGATAATGAATTTGTCTGTGCCAAATTGCAGCAAGACTCGGATAATATCCAGACTTGGGCTGAATTGGCAAGTAACATTTGTGCCACACAAGTACCGGGCATGGCTATCAGGCATAGTGGCACAGTGGTTAGTGCTGCTGTCTCACAGGGACCTGGGTTCGATTCCAGCCTCTGGGAACTGTCTGTGTGGAGTCTGCACATTCTCCGCTTGTCTGAGTAGGTTTCCTCTGGGTGCCCTGGTTTCCTTCCACAGTCCAAAGATGTGCAGGTTAAGTGCATCGTTCATGCTAAATTGCCCCGTAGTATCCAGGGCTGTGCAGGAAATGCAGAGTTACAGGGATAGGGTAGAGCGATAGGTCTTGATGGGTTGCTGTTCGGAGGGGTGGCATGGATTCAATGGGCTGAAGGGGCTGCTTCCACACTGTAGGGATTCTATAATCTCCAACTAGAGAGAATCTGACTATCTCCTCTTGACATTTAATGACATTACCATTTCTAAATACCCCAATACCTATACCTGGGTTTATCATTAACCAGAGATTGCATCAGAACAGCCATATGAACACTATGGCTGCAAGAATAGATCAGAGTCTAAACATGCTGAGTCAGGTAACTCATGTCCTCACTTACCAAAGTGTGTTCTCCACCTCCAACTCACAAGGCATGAGTCTGATGGAATGTGCTCCACTTTCCTTGATAGTATGGCTCCAACAGCAGTCTAGAAGCTGAACACTGTCCAAGTCGAAGCACCTGATTGGCACCCCGTCCAGTACCTTCAACATTCATTCCCTCCACCACTGATACACAGTGGCAACAGTGTTTGCTGTCTACTATACACACTGCAACAACTGACCAAAGCTCCTCTAACAACACCTTGTAACATTGAGACGTCAACTGCCCAGAAAGACAAAGGCAGCAGTTACATGGAAATACCACCACGTGTAAATTCAACCCCAATAGTTCCTTGCAAATTTGTTATCATTCCTTCACTGTCACTGAATCCAAATCCTGGCACTCCTTAACCCTAATCCTGACAGTCCTGTGTACACACTTGCACCAAATAGATTGCAGTGATTCATTTACCTCCATGGTAAATAACAATGGGGAATAAATCCTGGGCCAGCCGGTCATGCTCACATCCCATGAATGAACAAACGAAAATAAACACCAGCGTGAAGCTGGTGGGCTGAAGGGCCTGATACCTGTCTGTAATAATTCCATGTCATTTTCATATTGATGTCCCAGAGATTAATCATCACCTTCTGTACACTCCAGGCCTATCCTGGTGGATTGGCAACCTGAACAGTTCCATTTTGTTTTTCATTTTACAGCTTAGCAAACTCTGTTTTCTCTCTTCATGGAAGCTCACTATGTTTTAAACAGCTTAATGTTGCCATTTTATTGCAGAATTCAGGGTGAAACACTGTGATGTTTTTGTGCATGTGTTTAATGTTTGAGCATTCTTAAAGATTTAAATCATCCTGATATTGTACAAGGTGCCATGCCTTTGGGCAGAGTGGTCTGGCAATGATTAAAGTCAACCTAATCATCTTGGGTGCTCATATGGTGCATGGTGTATGTTGACAATGGTGGTTGAGCCATTTACAGTCAGCTGTCGCTAATCTTTCCATGGAATGATTCAAAAGATCAAACCAGCAAAACACTGAACTATAGAAGGTTGAAGCTTGGAACTCTGTTGCAACTGACACTTTCTATAAGCAGCATTATTTACCAAATGCAATTTCTATTTATTTGCTGCCAATTTTCTCTGGTGTTCTAAAATGTCATCATTATTTCTTTTTATTCACTATTTTTCATTGACAGCAATACCGGCCTGAAATGCCAATGTGATAGGAATCAAAGATCACCCATGATCTTATTGAATCAAGCAAGCTCAAGTGGCTATAATCCTGCTCTGAATTCAGATTGTACTGGTTCTTAGTGAGACCACACAGAGAATCTTGTGTGTTGTTGTCGTCTCCATGTTTAAGGAGGATTTACTTGCTCTGGAGCTAATACAACAAAGGTTCACTAGATAGGTCAACTCCCTCATCTCTGGAACCTAACATGAGAGGCTGAGTAAACTGGGTTTACATTCTCTGGAGAATAAGAGGCAATCTCACTGAAACACAAGATTCTGAAGGGGGTTTGATAGGGTAGCACTGAGAGGTTATTTTCCAAAGCTGAGGGATTCTGGGATTCCAGGACATATTCTCAGATATCATTAGGACTGAGATGAGGAGGGAATCTTTGAGTTTTCACAACTCAAAGGGGTTGTGAGTCTTTGGAATTTTCTGTCTCAATAGGCTTGGATACTCCATGTTTGAGTATATTTGAGACAGAAACCGTTCCGTGTCCTGATGCGTTCCTTCAGTGTCATTGCATCAAAATCCTGGAATTGTCTTCCTAACAGCATTGTGGGTCTATCCAGAATATGTGGACTGTGGCGGTTCAAGAAGATAGCTCACCACCGCCTTCTCGAGGGCAATTAGGGATGGGTAATAAAATGCTGGCACAGCCAGAAACACCCACATCCTACATTTGATAAAAATATTTTTAGTCTGTTGAAGTATCAAGGAATTTAGAGAATTGGCGGTAAAGTGACATTGAGGTAGAAGATTGGCCATGATCCTACTGAATGGTGGAGAAGATTGACAGCCCATATGCCTTACATGCACTCCCATTTCTTGTGTCCTTCTGTAATAATCATTTACCCTGTTCTAATTTGCAGCCTCTGCAGTAATGTGGCATACATACTGGGCACAATTGTGGAAAACGAGGTGGGTGCTCAGTGTTTGGTGACATTGGCACAGACTCAGCTGCTGGAATCTGATAATCTCCTCGGCAACCTGAATTCCATGTTAACGTGGACAGATACGGAAGCAGTGATGAATGCTGCTGGGACACTCTGCACCATGGTAAGATCAAACATCAATGGCAGGTATTGGGCAGGATATCCAGCCTTTGGCTCGCCAGTCAAAACTGGCATGACGTATTTTAAAACAAAGCTCAGCAAAATGTGGAACACGATGATCAGCAAATGATAAATTGAATGGAATCACAAGAGGCTACTCCCAACGACAAGTGTCTTAGCAACGTTTAGTCTGCTTCAACAACATAAGAAAATTGTCTCACACAACATTTATTCACACTTTTGCCCATTTACATACACAGACATGGGTACTTAATATGCCAGAACAGAACAGGGTAGATATCTTAGAAGCTTGTGTGACTCAAAGACATTACAGAGATAGAAAAGAATGAGGTTGTGGAGGGATTTGAAAACAAGGATGAGAATTTTAAAGGTCGGCTGTTGTTTGACTAGGCAGTAATGCAGTTCAACAAGCACAGGAGCGATGGGGTCTCAGGACCTGCTGCCAGGTAAGGCACAGGCTGTGAGTTTTTACTTGACCTCAAATGTTGAAGTGTAGAATGCTGGAAAACACTTGGGAGGGCATTGAAATATTTAAGTCTAAAGAAGAATGAGCATTTCAATTGTGGACAAGGTGGGTCAGGAGTGAAGTTGTGCGATGGGTGGTCTCAGTGAAGTTGCAAATACATGGTTAGGCACTCATTTCAAGGTCAAAAATGCCACCAACGTTCTAAACAGAGTGATCTAATCTCAAACTATTGCCTGGAAGAAAATTGATGTCAGGAGCTAGGCAAAAGGGTTCAAAATTAAAACAAGGCTGGAAATCTGAACTAAAGCAGAAAGTGCTGGAGAAACTCAGCAGGACTTCTGTGGGAGAGAAGCAGAGTTAATGCTTTTGATTCAAAAATGACTGTCCGTCACAACTGAAAGGGGATTGAAAAGTGAAGGGTTTTATGCTGTAGAAGAAAGGGGGAACATGGAGCAAGTGGAACAGAAGGGAAAGGTTTCCCAAAGCAAAGGCAAAGGGAATGCTAATGGTGGAAAGGAGGGATATGGATGTTAATTACAGATGTTAATATCAGAAAACAGATCAGCTGTACCTAGATCAAAACCATAGAAGCAAGACACTTGGTGGGAAGTGGGCGGGGTGGGGCTGGTGGGTGTAAACAGAATGAAGGGCAGAGGTCACGGTCAGAAGTTGTTGAACTCAGTGTTGAGTCCTGAAGGCTGTAGGAACGAGGTACAGTTCCTCCAGCTTGTGTAGGTCTTCACCAGATCATTGCAGAAGCAGAACTGTGAGCATGAAAGCAAGATGGCCTGTTGAAATGGCAAGATAGCAGAAGCTCAGGATCATTCTTGTGGACAGAGCTGAGGTATTCACAATGTGGTCACCCAGTCTGAGTTCATCTCACCAAAGTAGAGGAGACAAATGCAGTGGCTTCAGTCTTCTGAAAATAAAATTGAAGAAAATGTAGTCATCTTAAACACCTTCATTGTTCACCCTCCTAACTGTTTGCACTGGGGGCAGCTAGTTCCTGACTATGCATCTATCCTCACAATTTAACCTTTTTATCTTGGGCTTCATTCTAGTGAAACTGTGCCATGTCCCACCTCCCCCCCACGGTGACTATGTCTTCCCCTAATGTGCAATGCCCAGACTCAATATACTATTTCAGATGCAACCTGTCCAGAGGGATGGTGGAGACATCACTGTTGTAGGAATCTCTTGCATTATCCAAAATCTGTACCGCAGCTGATGCTGTTTAATTACAAAAGCGGGTAAATAAGCTTCATCACTAATGAATAAGGTCAGAGAAAGTGGGAACGGCGGATATGGAAGAATACATTGCTGGCTAGCTTCAAGACAGAAAGCAGTAGGTGGTAGAAGATTGGAGTTGTTATTCCACAGAGATCATTTCTGGGACCACTGTTCTTCACATTTTATATTAAGAATTTGCACTTTGGGATCAGAAAATAAACTGCTCTTAAATTTATGTGATGATGCCAAGTTGGAGAAGAGATTGTCAATATTGATGACTGCAACAAATTATAGGGCAGCTTGAAGAATTGGCAAATAAAGTCCAACAAATGTGAGGTCTTATGTTTTGGTAGGAAAATATGGAGGTCTCTTACAACTTAGAAATCGGACCCTTGGTGGGGTACAGGAACAAAGGGATCCTTGTGTATAAATGCAAATATCTCTAAAACTTGTGCCACGAGTTAGCAATTAAAACAAAATAAAACAGGCACTAGATTTTAATTTTAAAGGGTCAGAATTGAAAAGTAGTGAAGTTATGCTAATCTACGTCAAACTTTGGTCAGACCACACAAGAAGACTAGCTCGAAAAAGGGCAGAGGTGTGTCGGTGAAGGTGCGAAGAAAATATACACGGATGATGCCAGAAAAGTGTGGGTTCTACATATCAGGAAAGGATTGACAGCATGGGTCCTCTCTTGGGGGAGAAAAGACTGAGGGGTAGCTTTAGAGTGACTTTAGACTTAAGTTTAAAATTACAAAAGATTTTGAAGGATGAATACAGAGAGAGCAGTTCCACTTGAAGAGAAGAGCAAAACTAGAGGCCATTAATAGAAGATAGTCACCAAGAGATCGAACAGGGAATTCCAAAGAAATTTCTTTACCCAAGATGTGGCAAAATTGAGAAGTTGCTACCACAGGAAGTGGTTGAGGTGAATAGTATGGATGTAGTGAATGGGAAATTAGACTAGCATATGTGGTGAAGGGAATAGAACGTTAGGATATGCTAGATTCAGATGAGGGCTGATGGGAGAAGGCTCATACTGAACATGCACAGACAATTGGGGCTGAATGGCCTGTTTCTGCACCATTTATCTGACATCAATAATCTCAAAAGAGAAACAAAAGCATTTAAAATGTTTTTATGTTTCAGGTTGAGACCAATGAAGGCCGACAGTGGCTACTGAATGACCCTCACCTGGAGGAGCTACTGGTCAATGTAACTGCTCTGCTGGACAGTGTAAATGAGTGGGCAGCCAGCAATGCTGTCCTGGTATTGGCAAGGATTGCTATCTGCGAGTCTGGCTGCAGGAAGCTCTTGGAGCAACCGAGCTCCTGGCACATGCTCCGCAAGCTGATCGCAGCTCTGGGCGTGGATGAAGCAGGTAAGCAGCATTCCTCTGTTCCATGCTCCAACTCTTGACACGAGCCAAGAACATGCGAGCACACAGATATTCACTCTGTTAGCAAAGTTACTTTGTAAGTGTCTGGAATGTGGTGAAGGAAGTCTAAGGTCCTCCATTAGCATAAACACCTGAACAGGTCTGTTGGGCCAAATGGCCTGTGTATGTGTTGTAAATATTGGACAATGTGAATAAATTGGAACAGACAGCAGTTCCCTGCCTCCTCTCCCAAATCAGAAAGTGATTCACACAAAAGGCTCATCAATACCTGTAACCTGAGTGGCATTTACTGATGCCCCTGCAATGTCTACCCTTTACTTCAGGCATGTGAAGAGTAGAAAACGGAGTACATGTGGGGGAGAGGTTCAAATGGAATGAATAAAAGTAGGAGCAATTTTTGGGTTCTGGTATATGCTATCTTTCAAAGAGTCAGTGTGGCTCGGCCCCTGGAACTCTCAGATTGAAACTAGTGGGGTCAAATCCACCTGAAATTTGAGCCCAGTAATCTGAGCCAATCCCACCAGTGCAGTACTGTGGGTGTGCTGCAGCGTTGGTGAACGGATGTTTAACTGAGCCCACATCTGCCCCCTAAAGTGGATGCAAAATATCCAATGGCATTATTCCAAAGGTGTCCCAGGTAAAATGTAGTAAGGTCAAGTATTTACTCCTCAGTTGACATCACAGTATCGTTGTGGCACTGAATTCCTGAGGTAACTATCAGATTGAAGCCTCACTCATCACTGGTCCCCTGCTCAACTACATCCCTGCTACCCTATCTTAAGCACCTGATGCACTCACTCTGCACCTATCACCCCTCCCAATGACTAACCATTCTATTAACTCACCCACGTGACAATCTGCCACCTCACTCACGTGCAACCCTCGCCTCTCTTCCACCTGCCACCCTATCCCGATTACCAACCTGGCAGTCTGCCTCTGACCCAACTGGCATCCTACGCACTTATTCATTAGCCCCTTACCTACCCACTTGCCTCTCATTTATCTTGCATCCTTACCTTTCCTCAGTCAAAGTGGCTGTGGGATCTTCCATCAGAATAACGCCTAAAATTTGGCCATAAATGCTGTAGAACTGTGTCTTTCCCTGCAATGCCTCTCCTGCTCTGAGTAGATTTCTCTCCAGTTTCCACTGATGGATGCATCTGGGACAGGCCAGACTTAGAAATCTGACCAGAAAAATTGTTGACAGCTAAATAGCTATCTCGTCTGATGGTGATTGGAAAATCTGGGTCAATACTGGGTCATTGTCACATTGCTATATGCACAAGTTTCCTGTGTGCAAATTGACTGATATATTTCCCACGTTACTACAGTGACTACACTTTGAAAGTACTTCATTGGCTGTTATCCACTTTGGGGTCACCTGTGGTCTTTCTTTCTCTAAATAACTCAGACCATGCACAAAACAAAACCTTGCTCTTTTAAGGCCTGAATTTTACCTTTGACTGTATCTAGGTCATTTAAATTAATTCTTGCGTTTGAATAAAAATGTAACTCCCATGTTCAGATTTACTTTAGCTCACGGGGCATATGTTGTGAGCTTCCGTGTGTTTTATTGATTTTGGAAAGGGACCCAATGAGCGCACTATTAAAATATGGCTTGTTGACCAACTGAATTGTTAAATGGATTGCTAAGTGAACAACAACAATGGTATTAGTTATATGTTAACCATCTCTGCTTGATTTGGTAGATCATGATAAAAAGTCATTGCCACTGTGGTAAATTACAACATAAATATCAATTGTGGCCTTTTTTCTTAGCTGGCAGTCAACAGAACTGTCTCCAACACAAACTATTTCTTCATGTAGTCCATTAAATTTGATGAATATGGAAGGAAAAATACTTCTAGAAAATAATCAGGGAAAGGAAATTGAAATGAAGTAGTAAATTAATCATATATTCCTGGGTCTCGCATCTGGACTTTTGGCAGGTTGTAGTTTCCTGTTTTTAATTGTTGATCAATAGAAACCTTTTCCTTTGTGCACTAGTTTTTAAGCCTGTGATAAATGGAAAGAAAACAATGTCTTGAACATTAGAAACAGGAAATGCTTCCTTTTGTTCAGTGAATTTCTTTATAGATGTCCTCTTATTGAACAGAATTCTCCCTAACCTGATACTCAGCAAATGGCAATGAAAAGAAAGCTGCGATTGGTTTTTTGATGGGACATTGCTCAGCCCTGGACCTGGTTGTGTTTGTGTTTTGATCAGAGTTGGAGGAAAGAGAGCTTGATGACTTCAGCAGGAAGAGTGCTGTTGGGATGAGGAATTCCCAATCTTCACTCAGGCCCTAGGATTCAGGGTGAAGCATGGAAAGCATTTATCCCCTGACCCCTCCCATCCTCACTTAATGGAAAGTGCTGATTTTCCCCACAGTTTTGGAAATCTGGCCAGCAAGTGTAAAATTCCAAAAGCTGTTTTGTCAATGTGATCCTCACTTTTAAATATGCAATTCATCTCTTTGGATCAGGCTGCTTTGTCATCCACCCATTTCAAGCTTTACCTGAAGCTTAACAGTTTGAGCTGTGAGGTGGTTTTGGGTCAGGAAACAAATTTGTCGAAAGCAAACTTTTTATGAGCTGACGACTATGGGACCAAGAGTGTTCCAGTTGATCAAATATTCCGGATAATCAAGAGGTCCACATAAATAATGTAAAAACACAACTAAATAATAGAAATGTAATGTAGGGGTATACACATCACAGTTTTACTTGATTTACAACGTGAATCATTTGAATAATAATGCAACTTTGCCTTAAATAAGACTTAACAATAGAGAACCTTCTCACTCACACCCTCAACTGATTATTCGAATATCGCAGAGATTGTGATAATACAATAGACACCTGGTATTTGAGGTATATGATTTTGCTAGTTTACCAAGAGTGCCAGTTCGTAAGGTGCCAGTTAAAACAAAGTTTGTTGTGGTTTAACCCTCTACCCAACTCCAACTCCAACCCAAGACAACAAGGTGCAGGGCTGGATGAACACAGCAGGCCAAGCAGCATCATAGGAGCAGAAAGGCTGGCGTTTCGGGCCTAGACCCTTCATCGGAAAAGGGGGAGGGGAAGGGGGTTTTGAAATAAATAGGGAGAGAGTGGGAGGCGGATAGAAGAGAGATAGAGGAGAGGATAGGTGGAGAGGAAACAAACAGGTCGAAGAGGCGCGGATGGAGCCAGTAAAGGTGAGTGTAGGTGGGGAGTTCGGGAGGGGATAGGTCAGTCCAGGGAGGACGGACAGGTCAAGGGGGCGGGATGAGGTTAGTAGGTAGGAGATGGGGGTGCGGCTTGAGGTGGGAGGAGGGGATAGGTGGAAGGAAGAACAGGTTAGGGAGGCGGGGAGGAGCTGGACTGGTTTTGGGATGCGGTAGGGAGAGGGGAGATTTTGAAGCTTGTGAAATCCACATTGATACCATTGGGTTGCAGGGTTCCCAAGCGGAATATGAGTTGCTGTTTCTGCAACCTTCGGGTGGCATCGTTGTGGCACAAGCAGGAGGCCCAGGATAGACATGTCGTCTGAGGAATGGGAGGGGGAGTTGAAATGGTTCGCGACTGGGAGGTGCAGTTGTTTATTGCAAACCGAGCGTAGGTGTTCTGCAAAGCGGTCCCCAAGCCTCCGCTTGGTTTCCCCGATGTAGAGGAAGCCACACCGGGTACAGCAGATGCAGTATACCACATTGGCAGATGTGCAGGTGAACATCTGCTTGATGTGGAAAGTCTTCTTGGGGCCTGGGATGGGGGTGAGGGAGGAGGTATGGGGGCAGGTATAGCACTTCCTGCGGTTGCAGGGAAAAGTACCGGGTGTGGTGGGGCTGGAGGGGAGTGTGGAGCGGACAAGGGAGTCACGGAGAGAGTGGTCCCTCCGGAAAGCAGATAAGGGTGGGGAGGGAAAAATGTCTTTGGTGGTGAGGTCGGATTGCAGATGGCAGAAGTGTCGGAGGATGATGTGTTGGATCCGGAGGTTGGTGGGGTGGTACGTGAGGACGAGGGGGATTCTTTTTTGGTTCTTATTGCGTGGACGGGGTGTGAGGGATGAGTTGCGGGAGATGTGGGAGACACGGTTGAGGGCGTTCTCGACCACTGAGGGGGGGAAGTTACGGTCCTTGAAAAACGAGGACAACTGAGATGTACGGGAGTGGAATGCCTCATCCTGGGAGCAGATGCGGTGGAGGCGAAGGAATTGGGAATAGGGGATGGCACTTTTGCAGGAAGGTGGGTGGGAGGAGGAGTATTCTAGGTAACTGTGGGAGTCGGTGGGCTTGAAATGAATATTGGTTTCTGGGTGGTTACCCGAGATGGAGACAGAGAGGTCCAGGAAGGGGAGAGAGGTATTAGAGATGATTTTACCCATTATTCTTCAGCCCATGGATTCACAATTCAAGCTCTCGATATCATTTATTAATTCTGACAGCCAGTTGGTGAAAGTGTGGACTAGAGTTGAATCTTTACAATGTAAGATATTAAAATATGTAGGTCTTGATTCTTCTGCAATATATCGCCAATGTCAATAAATATTTCTTAATAAAAGCATGTCATTATCCAACAGTAGACTCTTGACCTTAATGTATACTGTGATGAAAGGTGTATGATTTATATCTACGTGTATTTGTATAAGTTTAAGAGTTTGGATTTTAAAATGGGGTTGGCTACTTTTCTGAAGGATTTAAACAAAAATAGCTAGGAATTCAAGAATAACATTTACTTACAAAATAATTATTTAGAAAATTTCTAATCCAAACTAGACACACAGGTTTGACAATAAATCTGTAGAATAATTGTGTTCTGGTGGTTGATTGAAGGATCAAAGAATGGTTAGGGAGTAGGAAGTAAAATGGTTAGGGTGTTTAAGTAACATTGGGTGTCAAGAGTACCTCTGGGGGCTGCTCGCTTGTCATCTTTTAACAAGAACATAAGAAATAGGCCTCTTGAGCCTTCTCTGACATTCAATAAGATCATAGCTAACCTTT